GCTGTGGCTACAATGTAGCTGCCATCACCAGTGTGTGAATGTGTGAATGACTGGATATGTAAAGTGCTTTGGGGTCCGTAGGGACTAGTAAAGCGCTATACAAATACAGACCACTTACCATTTAAGATGGCTAGCTATTCTGAATGTTTGAAACATAAATTGGGGGGGGAAAAGTTTTATGCTGTGCTCCGTGAAGCTTATTTGAATTGGAAAAACTGTTGAGCCAGTCAGAGCTTTGTAAGTGAAATTAAAAAAAGGTTACGCCATATTTTTTATGCCAGAGGCGGAAAAATGGAAACAGAAACATTTGCATAAAAATGACAAAATGTGGATGATGAGAACCGCAAAGCAGAGCATAAAAACATTTAAATTAGCATTTTTATTCAATTGACATGCTTCAGAAAACACTGCTGCAGCTTTTTTGTTGACGGGTAATTCAGCGGCGGAGACGACATTTAGTGGCAGATGATTGTAAATGTAAGAAAATACCTTTAAATGAGAATTTAACTGATGTTTAAAAACACGATGCCACAAGATTAAAGCGAAAAAAGCCCATAACATTTCACCATAATGCTTACATGATGTATAATAATGAGCAAATGATTTATAAAACAGACTAATGGTAATGGTGATATTCAGCAGATGGCAATAGGCTCATGTGAACAAGTGCAACTCATTGCTGCACAGATGACACTCAGAGGATAAGAATTTAAAAGATGCCGTGATTGAAGCAACAAATGGGATTGTGTGACTCTTGTACAAAGAGCAGGCAGATACCTGACATGGCCCTGCGTGTCACATTTAGGTTCTAGCTTCTGTCAAAAGAAAATCCCCCAGGTCTTACACGGCCTCAACAAAACCTGATTTTACAGCTGAGCGCTCTGCTGTGAGCTGCAGTGCCCTGTCAGAGTGGTATTACAGGGGCCACCGGGGAGCAGGGAGCAACAGCAGCTCGCAGCCTCACGTTCCACCACAGCATAATCTACTACACAGGAAAGCACCTTGACTGTTATCGTGTTCCAGTGTTATCAGCAACCATAAATATCTCACGACACGCACACAGGCAGAGTGTCATGGCCATGACCCCAGCGCTATGCCAAAGACCGATGCTCAGGTGTGCGAATGTTGCCGAGAACCAGTTTTTTGAAGACGCTTCTATTTAATGTTGTAAAAAACATTTTGGAAACGGTCGTGTCCTTCCACGCAGTTTCTAGCAGCAAGGTACACCTGGAGCCCGGCACCTCTTGAGATAACTCTGAGGCATCACAGGAGGCTTTTTCTTCACTGATATCTTTGCTTTTTTCTCTTAAGTAATAACCCTGCACAATTAAAATTACATATTAGCTGGAGTTTTATTTTATTCATTCATCAAGTCTAGAAAACTATGTCAAAATTCCCCTCTAAACCCCATGGTGAAGTGTCAAAGTGAGGCTCAGTGCTCACATTTGACAGCCTGCAAGCACATTTCTTTCATTTTTGAAAAATCGCTCGAACAATTAGCTGTCCTAATTGTTTGGATTAATTGCCTGTGGATTGGCTAATTGTTTAATCAACCATTTGCTGCCGCCTACAGTGCACATTACAGACTGTTATGTCTTTAATGACTTTTGAGTTTCAGCACACTTTTTCCAAGTGAGCATAAAGAACTTTGATCCCTCTGATACATGACAGAGATTTGTAATCTCACATCACCACTTCATGAAGCCATGAGTATCTGTGTCTGATAATTTGCCGTCACATCACTGCAGCTATCACACTGAGACTGCAATCTTAAACTTTGAATGTCTGTCAGATGAAGGATAAGTAAGTACTAAAAGGACAATAAGTACTGTATCTACTAGACTTCACACCAAGATAACTTTTGCATTCAGAGTTGAGAAAGTTTTTGACTAACGACTAATGACTTTTCTTCCTGCTCATAGAGTATTCATACATGGAGCAGAGTGCTTTTTGTTAACCCGTGTTAAGCAGGAAGCTACTGTGTTTACGTTGCAGGCAAGTCTGTGGGCATCGTAACAACCACGAGGGTGCAACACGCCACCCCAGCAGGCAGCTACGCCCACAGTGCCAGCAGGACGTGGTACAGTGATGCTGATATGCCTGATTCTGCGAAGACGGACGGCTGCACGGATATCTCATTCCAGCTCATCAACAACACAGACATTGATGTACGCTTCTGTTTTTAACAGTATATATTGAACTTTTCAACGGCTGAATTTGATTTAAATGTTCGTGTGTGTGTGCGTATGTGTGTGTGTGTGTGTGTGTGTTTTCAGGTGATCATTGGCGGCGGTAGAAAGTACATGACCCCTACTGGTACCAAGGACCCTGAATACCCCACAGACTACTTTTCAAACGGTAAAAGAAAGGATGGGCGTGACCTGATCAAAGAGTGGCAGAACTTAAAAACTGGGAAGGTAAAACACCTCTGCTCATAATAACAGGTAGAAGTAAGAAGTATGATGTGGTGTGAAATCAGAAGACCAAAAAACCTGCACATATACAGTCATATTAAAAAGATACGACACCCTCTTTCAATTGACAGTTTTACGTGTCAGGACATAATAAAAATCTTAAAAGTAGACAAATACAACATCAGTTAATCAATAACACGTGACATATTATAATGTGTGATTATTGATTGCATAACAACTGAACCCAAGTGCAGAATACTTTGGTATACAGAGGATTTCACTATTAACTCCATGACTGCAAGGTACCCAGGTCTTACTGCTACACAAATCCAAATCATGACCCCTCTACCACCATGCTTGACAGTTGGTGTGAGGTGATGATATGCTGCTTTTGGTTTTATTCAAATGCGGTGCTGTGAAAAATCTCCACTTTGGTCCCATCTGACCAACACACATTGTTCCAGAAGTCTTGTTTGTACAAATGCAGCTTTACAAACCTGAGCTCGGCTGCTATGTTGTTTTTAGAGAGAAGAGGTTTTCTCCTGGCAAACTTGTTTTGTCATGAACTTTACTATTTTTGGTGAGGGTGTGCTTAGTTTGTCACACACTGTTTTGGCCTTTTGACTTAAATTTCTGTTGCATAAATAATGAAACGGTACAATATGTCATGTTTTCATTAAAATTTGTATTTATAGTAAGACCTGCTGAGGACTGGATGATTTTTATTTTGACCTGATATGTTTAAAGAGGGTCCAGTTGTGTGACTGATCTTATCAGTGTCTGCATCTGACTGTAACAGTTAACATTATAAGGTATCAGAGAGTTTTTGCTTAAACTTTATTCGCCAAAGGATACCAGAGGTGAATGTATTACAAAATGAATATTCTGCTATTTTTCCATAAGAAACGTGATTACTTGCATCATATAAGTACAGAAACCTGGTGCAGGTTTCATAGTTAGAACAGTTAAGTGTCCTTTACTTTGCACACAAAGCGGCTTCCTTCTGTTTGCCGGTGAGCCATACAGTGATTAATATCAAGCACAACCACTTTTGGTATTCTGCTTCCACTCTCCATGGTTATATGTAATCCTGTGTGTTACAGGTTGCCCACTATGTGTGGAATAAAGCAGATTTTGACGCTGTTGACCCTGAAACCACTGACTACCTCATGGGTATGTTTTTTTCCTCTTTTGCCCCTTCCTTTGCTCCCTCATGCATCCCCCTGTTGCTTAAGAGCTATATTCAACATTTAATAGAAACGTGGTTTCCAATTAATAAAATATCCTGCTAATGAATTTAATTGCTAAAAAATTTGCATGTGCAGACTGGAGCGGTGGTGGAGTCAGACATCAACATGGTTGTGCGTCACTTATTTTTTGAGTTTGGACTTTTGTTTTTATTTGCGGTTTATGTATCCAAATTATTTGTTTAGGGTTTTAAAAGGTCTATAATAAAGTAATACCTTAACCTTAGGAGCTTTTCTTTTTGTGTTCAGACTTCATAATTTAGTGACTCAGTTAACTAAGTGTACATAATATTAACCCTCTGGAGTCAACAGTCGCCAGTGCGTCCAAATCACATGATGGATTTAAGAAAACTCTGACTGACTCTGTTTC